ATATATATATATATATATATCTCCCTCCCCACCCTTCTAATGTGTTTTGGTGGCCTAGTGGCAAGAAGCTGTGTTGCAATCTCAAAGGGAGAGAAAAATGGACAATTCCCCCCACCCTTCTCCACCATGGGATTTACTGCCTCCCTCTGTGCATGAGTTCCAATACTTGATGGTACAATATGGTAAAATATGTTCTGGTCAGAACTATCATTATTATCCAATTATAGTAACACTTGGAACCACGTGGTCTTGTGTGCACATGTTATGTGTGTGCTATTTTATTTCTTTTCATGTTTTCATAGTGGCTGATTTTGTCAAATTTTCTGGTGTTAGCTGCAGAATTGTAGTAATTAGTACTTTTAAACAAATATCAATAATGTGTTGGGGTTTTTTAATGAAATAGCAATTAAAGGAAAAGAAAGAGAAAAATCAAAAAAAGCTTAGCTACTGATAACATTGTAAGTGTATAAAGATTTAATAGACAATTTGGTTGACACTACTCAAATAATCTAAGAAAGATTGTATTCCAGCAAGCTACAACTGTATCACACTATGCTATAACTATGATTAAAATTGATAACAAGTCTTGCTAAAGAGTCTGTATGTTCTCGTATGGGGAAAGATCTAAAGGAGTGGGAGTGATGTCATTGAGTCTTTTGCCCAATAATTGGTGACTTTTGGATAATTAACTTAGAGTTGTTGACTTTCTCATTTTATGACTTGGCAGTATTAACCCTGGAATTCTGAGTCTCATTTCCTGCTCCCCACTTCCCTGTTTCCACTTCTTGAGTCAGCTAGTTTCTGATACATATTGGATACTTAGGGTTAAAAACACTTTCAAATATCAGTCATTAACCTGTGCAGAGTTGATTTGCTTTTCCTTAAGGCACATCTTCTATGCCCAGAATGAAGGACACGTTACATATAGTTTATTTATTTAACAAGCACATATATAGCACAAACCATGTGCCAAACAGTGTCTAACGTGTGTTCTAAAAATGAAGTCACTTTAAAAAAAAAAGTAACTTAAGTAACTTAATTAAGTAACTTAATCTTGAAACCAACCTTATGTTTGGTAGTAGTGATGATGTTCAATTTTTGTTGAGTCACCTGTGACTCATGACAGCTTTATACATAACAAAAGAATGCACTGTCTGGTCCTCTGACATCTTCACAATTGTTGGTATGTTTGATTCCATCATGTCAGTTATTACGTCAACCTTACATTTCAACTTCTACAGAAAGGTACTATTACTATCCCCATTATAGTGTTGAGTAAACAGGAGTGGCATCCACTTTCTAAATGAAACGTCTCTGGACACTTTATGAACTTTGATAAATGTCTATAGTTGTAGAGGGGCTTCAGGGCTTTTGTTCATACGGTCGCTGTAAGTCATGTTCAACTCCAAGGCAATCAACAACAACAACAAACTAAGGCAAAGAAAGGTTGAATGAATGGCCTGTCAACATAGCTAGGAAATGACAGAGGAAGATTTGAGTTCAGGTGGGCTGATTTCAGTGTATGCTTTTATTATTAGCAAATGTTTGTATATGTAAGCATTTGTAGTTTCGTAATTAATGTAAAATGTATCACAATTAAACAGAGTTACACAGATATTGGTATATTCTCATTTGGTACCCATCATAGAAAAACATTGTTTTAAATAGCTAGATAGGAGATTATTGTCATTCACAAGAAGTTATCACTAACATTCATCAGATTTGTGTTTGGTGCTTTTCAACTTTATATATAAAGAATATGGGGAAAAAAACCCAAACCCACAAGCCTGAATGCTGAAGTGGAAGCCACCCACCTGTTTTTTAGCCAATTTTACTACATACAATTTGTTTTATTTTAACTTTACACTTTCTGTACCTTAGGGGTTTTTAGCTACAAAATGGCTATTATAGCATTTACCTCACAGAGTTCTGCGAAGAGTAAATGTTTATATATATATATTTGGAGCCATATTGGTTACATAGTAAGTATTATCTAAGAGTTTACTATTAACATTGTTGTTTTTCATGTTACCTATAGAAAAATCTAAGAATTGATATGCACACAAAGGAATCTAAAACTAAGCACAATAGTTACTTCATTTCTTAGCCTCTTTTTTTTAACTCTATCCATATTCTCTTCATACTCCCTATCTATATTTGATTGCATGAACCTGCTAAAATTTGCTGCTTTGAATACCACATCAGGATGATAACTATCCAGCCTCAATCTTTCCTCTAAAGACCAAATATGCACATGACACAGCCCACTGTACATCCTCATTTGTGTGTTTGCCAGTAGTTGAGTATATAGGGAGTTCTTGTAGCCTAGGGAGAAGAAGCTGCACTGCAATCCCAAAGGCATGCAGTTCGAACCTACCAGCTGCTCCTCGGGAGAAAAATGTGCAATTGCCTCTTGTACGATTACTGCCTCTAAAAAGCCGCCAGAGGGTTAGCTACGGGTCCATTCTGACTCGATGGTACACAACAACAGCGACATGTAAAAAGTTAGATTATTAACTCACCATTTCCTTCCTGACCAACAAACTGTTCGATCCCTCTATTTTATCTTAAGTCTAACCTTAAAGCTATTTTTAGCAAAAACTCCAAAAGCTATCCTGAACCCTATCATTTCACCCCACTTTGTCGCTCTCACATTAATCCAGTTCTCCATCACCTCTAACATCATTTCATGTCACTTGATTCCTAAACAATCCCCATGCTTTCTACTCTTGTCCCATTACAATCTATTCTTCAAGCTATGCTGTTGCTATGCACTACTGAGTCAGAATAAATCTATAGACAACCCTCCAGTGGGTTTTCAGGGGCAGTTAATTGCACAAGAGGAGATTACCCATCCTTCTCCCATGCAGCTGCTGGCAGATTCTTCAAGCTATACGTTGCTGATATTGTACTCTATGTTGTTGTTGTTATGTGCTATCAAGTTGCTTGAGACTCATAGCAACTGTAAGTACAACAGCCCTAAACCCTGCTCTATCCTGTGCCAATTGCACTGCCTCCGAGACACCCATCCCGATTACCCCAGTCACTGAATCAATCCACCTCATAGAGGGTCTTCCCCTCCTGCGCTGTCCCTCCACCATCCCAAGCATGATGTCCCTCTCCAAGGACTTGTCACTCCTTACAACATGTCCAAAGTATGTCAGATGAAGCCCCAGAATTCTTGCCTCCAAGGAGCAGCCTGGTTTAACCCTCTCCAGGTTGAATCTGTTTGTTTTCTTGACAGTCCATGGTACATTCAATACTCCAGCACCTCAGCTCAAAGGCATCAATTCTCCTTCTATTCTCCCTAGTCATTGTCCAACTCTCGGATGCATAACAAGCGATTGCAAAGACCACAGCCTGTATCAGATGCACTTTAGTCTCCAGCGTGACACCATTGCTCTTCAGTACCCTTGGAGAGGTCCCTAACAGCAGACTTTGTCATCGCAATACATTTTTTTATTTCCTGGTTACTGGTGCAAAGAGCGTTGACCATGGAGCCAAGCAGACTAAAGTTGTTAACAATCTCAATCTCTTCACCATCCATCCTGATGCTGCCAATTGGTCCAGTGGTGAGAATCTTTGTTTTCTTGACATTGAGCCTCAATCCATACTGAAGGCTGCAGTCCTTGACCCTCTGCAACAAGCATTTCAGGTCCTCCTCAGTTTCAGCAAGCAGGGTTATGTCATCTGCATAAAGCAGATTGTTAATAGATCTTCCACCAATCCTGACACCACACTTATCCTCCTACAGCCCAGCCTCTCGGATAATCTGTTTTGCATACAGGTTGAAAAGGTATGGAGATAGGACACATCCCTAGTGTACATCTTTCCCAATTTTGAACCATGCAGTATTTCCTTGCTCTGTTCTGCCGACTGCCTCTTGGTCCAAGTATAGGTTTCGCCTTACAACAATCAAGTGTTCTGGGATTCCTATTCTTCTCAGAGTCAGCCACAGTTTGTTATGATCCACACAGTCAAACGCCTTTGCATAATCAATGAAACACAGATAGACATTCTTCTGGTATTCCCTGCTTTCAGCTAAGATCCATCTAACATCAGCTACAATATCCCTGGTACCACAACCCCTTCTAAACTCAGCCTGGACTTCTGGCAGTTCTCTGCTGATGCACTGTTCCAGTCATTTTTGGATAATCTTCAACAGAATCTTGCTTGTATGTGAAATCAATAGGAGTATGTTTATGAACTGTGTATCAAACAAACTAATTTCCTTATGTGTTTAATGAGTACAGCAAATTATTCTTTAAAATTACAGATTCTTACAATTGTTGATATTTTCACTCATTCATGAAAATTAAAGCAATAACAATTCAATCCACTGATATTTAGTCTAGGGGCATGTAAGGTATTTAACCTAGGGCCATGCTTGCTTCCCTATCAAGACATTGATAAATATAGATAAATTAACACAATTTAAAATAATAGGATAAGAAAAAGTTTAAGTAAACTAACTGATACAATAAATTATAAGTCAAATATTTAGTGAAAAATCCAATATATTGTTTAAAATCAAGAATTCAATTTAGCTTAGGTTTCTAAGTGCTTCCAAGTATAATTTTGATTCACTAAAAGAAAGTATGACTTTTGAAGCTTCAGTGAGTCTTAATCATTCTTGTTTTAAATATTATCAGAATGAAAGTATTTTTACCAAGGCGTTCTCTATGAGTTAATTAAAGATAGCAATCCAGTAAAAAAAGACATGTTAACTTCATTTCAAACATATGACAGAATAAAATTCCAACGTACCTTCTGAAATATTTGGCTTTGTTTGAGCCTTGGTTCTAGCCTCACAAGGGTGAAAACTCAACTGCTGTAAGACTGCTGGACAGATGGTAGAGAAGTTAGAGCTGGTTATCTGGGTAGCATTTGAAAAGCCATGAAGGAAAAAGATGTCTTCAGCAGATAAACACTAAAACAAAATAAACAAATATATACATGTTAATACAATAAAGTGTCCAGCCAAAGATGCTAGAAAATACCTCTCAATGCACAGCACGTATTCTTGATACCGAATATGTGATTACCAAAATATGTGGCACTCAGAAATTGTAAGAGTTGAGCTCCCTAAAATTCACAATCAAGAAAAATAACAACAAAAATGGCATTTCTTAATCAATAGTCAATAGGAACCATTTGGGTGAGAAAGAAAGGTCCAAACACTTTAAAGATATTAAAAGCTGCCCACTGCCATTCAAGTAAAGATTGGTGGATATTTTTGGAGGCTGCTGGAGTGGCTCTCTCACACATTTCTAGAGGACAAACACTTTGTTCCCCTGCAATTTCATCATCAAGAAATGCATCCCGGGGGAGGGTTGGAGGGGAGAAAACTGCAACAATGAATGAATGGAAATCCAAAGTCTCTATAAATTTTCATTGACATTAATAATAATTTCAAAAAAGAATATTTAAAAAGAAAAAAAAAGAAATGCATCCCTCATCCTCGGCCATTCCATCCTATCTCATAGGGTCCCTATAAGATAGAATTGGCACAACAGCAGCGAGCTTGTTTGGTTTGAATATTTGTTCATTTGCTTGCTTGCTTGCTTTCTTCAAGATCTTAGCTATGGATGATACAAAAACTTCTAAGTTGACGCTTATTGTTTTAATATTTAAAACAAATACCATTGCCATCAAATGATTCTAACTCAAGCTGATCCCATATGTGCCTGAGTAGCACTGTACTCCATGGAGTTTTCAATGGCTTTTGTCTTTCTGTCCGATTATTCTTCTTGGTGCCTCTGGGAGGATTTATACTTTAACCTTTTAATTTGCAGCCAATGTGTTAACTATTTGCACCACCTGAAGATAAAAAAATTTAGTACTGTGATCTTATTATTGATTCAAGACAGAAAAAGTCAAACCCACAGACACCAATATGCAAGCGGTTGACAAAAACTAATGTTCAACTGACTTTAAAAAAAATATTAAGAGTTAAGATTTCCTTTTTTGTTTTTTAATATCTAACCATGTACCTATGTAACCTATTTTCCCTTTGAATTCAAGATGACTGCTCTGCTCCACCAAGAAGAGGAAACACTAAACACAACGGCCAACTAGCAGTCTTCCTTACGTCTAGAACAAGTGGAAAAAAAGTGAAAAACCCAAGCCCACTGGCATCAAGTAAATCCCAACTCTGTAACAAACTAACTAATAAACAAAGTACCTCCTGGCCTATTGGGTAAAGAATTGTACTGCCAACCCAGGCAGGAATTTTTAATCCACAGCTGCTCCACAGAAGAAAGATGAACAATCTATATTTACAGCCTCTGAAAAATCCACTACAGGGCCAGCTATGAGTCAGCTCCAACTGATGTAACTGAGTTGAGTTGCATAGAGAAAGAGAAAATGGAAAGTGGGTACAGTTTACTAATCACCATGAAGCTGTCCAAGGACATAACTGCTAGGCTCAAATATCATGGAGCTGATGTAGGTGGACTGCCCACTCCATGATTCCAGGAATAAGCAGGAATGGTGGTACAAACTGAACTATGTTTCCCTGAAAGGACATCCTAACCTACTTGGACTTCAAGTTCCTCCAACAACTGGAGCAAAGAGGGAAGGTACTTAGATAAACTTCAAACTCTTCTCAGAATTAACTGTCTAAGATTTCCTGAAACTTGATGACAGCTAATCATTCTTTTCCAACTCAAACTGACTCATTAGTTGTTGTTGTTGTTGTTATCTGCTATCAAGTCGCCTGCAACTCATAGCAACCCTAATGTACAAAGATCCCTAAACCCTGCTCCATCCTATGCCAATCTCACTGTCTCAAATACATCTACCCCAACTACCTCAGTCACTGAATCAATAAATGTCATCGAGGATCTTCCTCCTCTGTACTGTCCCTCCACCCTCCCAAGCATGATGTCCCTCTCCAAGGGCTGGTCCCTCTTTGCAACATGTTCAAATGTCAGAAGACGCTTCAGAATCCTTGCCTCCAAGGAGTAGCCTGGTTTAACCCTTTCCAGGACAAACTGGCTCATTCTCTTAGAAGTCCGTGGTATATTTAACACTCTTCTCCAACACCACAGCTCCAAGGCATTAATTCTCCTTCTATCATCCCTAGTCATTGTTCAGCCCTCTGATGCATAGCAAGTAATTGCAAAGACCATGGCCTGTATCAGGAGCACCTTAGTCTCCAGAGTGACACCATTGCTCTTCAGTAGTTCGGAAAGGTCTCTGACAGCAGACTTTACCATCGCAATGCATCTTTTGATTTCCTGGCTACTGGTGCCAAGAGTATTGACTGTGGAGCCAAGCAAACTAAAGCTATGAACAATCTCAATCTCTTCACCATTTGTCACAATGCTGCCAATCAGTCCATTGGGAAGAATCTTTGTTTTTTTGATATCAATCCATACTGAAGGCTGAAGTCCTTGACCTTCTTTCCCAAGCGCTTCAGGTCCTCTTCAGTGCCAGCAAGTAGAGTTATGTCATCTGCATAATACAGATTGTTGATGAGTCTTCCTCCCATCTTGATGTCACACTTCGCCTCCTAGAGCCCAGCCTCCCGGCTAATCTGATCTGCATATAGATTGAAAAGGAATGGAGATAGGATACATCCCTGGTGTATCCTCTTCCCAATTGTGACTCATCGGTAGTTCAGGAAATTTATCTAACAAGTCCCAGCAACATTTTTAATGAAATAAAATATATAATTTATAGCTTGCTTCACACAGAATTGATTAAACTTAAGCTATACATTGTAATATACCAACCCATAACTCACTGTTGTTGCATGCAGTTCACTCACAGCAATTCCCCATTGGTTTTCACAGGCTGTAAATCTTTTTGGGCCAAGCTTAGGGAGACTGGTGGATTAAAATTGGCAACCTTTCAGTTAGCAGCCCAGTGATTTATATGCTACATTACTATATATACCAGGTTACAATGTAAAATTTCTTTCTACAAATAGTGGTCAAGAACTTGAAAGTGGCTGCTCTTAAGGTTGTCCTTTTGTGCTCTCATGGCCTAGTGGTAAGAAGCTACCTTGCAATCCCAAAGGCACACAGTTCAAAATCTACCAGGTGCTCCATGGGAAAAGGATGGGGAAATCTCCTCCTATGCAACTCACTGCCCTTGAAAACCTGCTGCAGAGTCAGCTATGAATTGGCTCCAACATGACCACACACAACAACAACAACAAAGATTCGTCTACATACATTAAAATGGAGTTGTTGTTGTGTGTACCATAGAGTCAGAACCGACCCATTGTCAACCCTCACGTAGGTTTTCAGGGGCAGTTAATTGCATGGGAGGAGATTGCCCATCCTTCTCCCACGGAGCAGCTGGTGGCCTTGAACCACGTGCCTTTGGGATTGCAGAACAGCTTCTTGCCACTAGGCCACCACAGCTCCCTATAATGGAGGGAGTACATTTAAAGGAATATAAAAAATCAATATTTTGGCTGGGCAGATGGTCCTTTGTCACAGTCCTTTGTCACAGTAGTTTGCCTGTTCTCCAGAAAGAACACAGAGATAGAGCGATAACAAACTTAAGTCCTTGCCTGGTGATAAGAGAATCAACAGAAATCCAGTGGTGGAGGCAAACTGAATTAATGGCAGGTCTGCTTAAAAATAGCCATTTCTGGCAAATAGATTGCATCTTTTTGAATAGCTGCCTATTTTGGCTTCAAACAATCTCTATTTCTATTATACTTTGATTTAATATAGTTGAACATGAAACAAAAGAAAGCAGTTGTCTAAGAAAGGGTGGTACTCCCAAAGTTAGAACAAACAGGATGAGAGTCCAATGCCTGAATAGTGAGAGCACAAAAAACTGGTTGAACCATTGCCCAAGGACATTCATACACCCTCCCAAGCACACCCCCTTCACCTCTCAGCAAACAAAGAATAAACTATGAGAATGGCTGAGGCACCCAGGGCTCCTCAGAAATGAGTGCAAGGTTACAATGAACAGAATATACTTTAGTTTCACTCTGTGACCTTTCCTATTTCCCTCACAAACACATCCTGACAAGTTTTTCTCTTTTCATCTATTTGGTCTTTATTATATTATATAACATTGTTTTTCTCAAGAGTGGCATCCTGAAGTTTGCTGTGGCCTTTTGAGATTTTTGTGTTATTAGAAGACAATTTTCCCCAGCCTGCAATTATCCTAATGTGAAGTAGATTCTCTTTTTTCCTAAATACTAGCTTAAATTCTTACTTGCAGTTCTTGCCACACTAAGGTCATCCCCAAACAGTTTCATACACATAAAATATCAAAGCTACAAATGCATGCTATAAAAATAAACTACAAATCATTTAAGCAAGTAGTTTCATCAACTTCTTTATCTGTTTATCCTGTTCTTTGTTCTCAAACACTTCTGTCCAGTTAGAATTTTCTATGTTATGTGTCAAGCAAATAATAGGACTAAGATAAATAAATCATAAATCATAGATCTTCCATAAAGAAACTGTGGACAAAAAAATAAACCGAAAAAAAACCCCAACAAAAAACCCTGTACCAATACCAATATCTATCAAACCAGAGAGAAAGTTGTAAGTTCAAACGAGACATAAAGATAACATACTGTGCAACAAATGATTTGAAAGTGAAATAATCAAACCACAACTTTGAGGATAGAGGTCTTGGAAAGTAGACAGATGGTAGTGACTGTTCTGACTAGGGAATCTAGAAAAAGAAACATATTTAAGGGGATGTTTTAAGTTTTACATGTTGTTGTTGTTGTTGTTGTAGGTACTGTCAAGTCAACTACAACTTATAGCAAACCTGTCCATAACATAGAAATTTTGCAATCTTGCCACTGTCAAAATCTCTGCCACACTCCAGCCTATTATTACAGTAACTTTATCATGGGGGTAAATTCATTTCATTGAAGGTCTTTCTGTCTTTCACAGACACCCCACCTTTCACAGCATGATGTTTATTTCTAAGGATTGGTCG